CACCCTGTTTGCAGGTTGAGCTGAAATATCTGGAAAAGTAGAATAAGCAGTCAAAGTGCTGGTCACACGTCCATGGCATCTAACTGGCCGAGTCAGAACCAGCTTTTGCCAAGAGGCGAGTTTCCGTCTCTTCCCTACCTTTCCAGTCCCACCCCAAGCACCATTGCCTCCATTTTAGCCAAACTGCGGTTGCAGGAGCGTCCCTGTGTGCCCCACCTCCAGGCCATGGCTTGCGCCTTCTATGGCCTCTGGGGGCTGTCCAGCCTCGTCTGTGCTTGAAATCCTTCAGGACTCCTTTCCAGGACTCCCTCTTCTGAGGCTCCTCTGGCCAACAACGGAGTTTGTCCTCTGTCTGTCTAGAGCATGCTAGCTGTGTGTCTGGCCGCCCTCACCTTTGCTAGCTCTCCTTACTGCTCAGCCAGGCTGAACAACTGAAAAGCACATTTCGTGCTTGACTCCCCAGGGTCCAGCCCTAGACCCTGACTGGGCTCTTAAACTGAGATCGGGGGACAGTCTCATGCTTTTGGCTCTAGGAGCTTTGTGGGAACATCTGCCATGGATGGAATTTTTAAAAATTTAACAGAATTGGGACCAGCAAGTGGCATGGTGGGTGGTGGTGGTTGTTGTTTGTTTTGGTTTTGGTTTTTTTTGGAGAGGTTTTTGCTAGAGGGCGCGTGCGTTCGCCAGACAGACAGAGAGACAGAAAGCGAGAAATCACCCCCCAGGGGGGATGGCCACGCGGCAATCCCTTCTCCTCCATTCTCCTCTCGGGATCTTGGGCACGCACGCACACACGCCCGGCGTGAGTTTTAAGCCACCGGGTCCAGGATGCAAACCGGGGTCGACTACCTGGGAGTCCAGTGACATAGCCAGTACGCTAACTGCTGGTTCCATATAGCTTTAAGGTGGTTAAGGCGCTGGGCCCTCCCACATGGCCAATCATGGTTTGAGTCCCAGACCTGTCGCGATCTCTCTCTCTCTCTTTGGTCAAATTAAAAAATAAATGAATGAATAAATAAGGTTAAATAAATATTTTTAAAAATTTAACAGAATTATTGGAAATATATGATGAAATTGTCTTATAAGGTTATACATTGTGTATGTTGTATGTGTATGCACACATACACACACCTGTGACTGGATACATCATGTATTTATTTATTTTTTTTTGGAAAGGTTTTTCACTATAGGGCACGTGTGCTCGCCAGACAGACAGAGAGAGACATAGAGACAGAAAGCGAGAAATCACCCCCCAGGGGGGATGGTCATGCCGCAATCCCTTCTCCTCCATTCTCCTCTCGGGATCTTGGGCACATACGCACACGTGCCCGGTGTGAGTTTTAAGCCACCGAGTCCGGGACGCGAACCGCGGTCGACTATGTGGGAGTCCAGCGACATAGCCATTACGCTAACTGCTGGTTCCCTATGCCTTTAACTCTTAAAGGACACTCTTAAAAGGGCAAAAATCATGACTTGTACAAATATAAAATGAATACTTGTCAAAGGTTTTATTTATTTAACTAATTAATGAGAGAACCAGTAAAATATTTTAACTATAAAGAGTCCCACACTTTTATAGTCAGGTAAGAAATGCTAAAATAATTTTTTAAATGAATGCAAAATTAGTTGATATTTTAGATAATCAGGTGGTACTCTGTAAGACATATTTTGCCTTTATGAGCAGGGATTATTTTCATTACTGCCTTTTCTGAAGTTAATTTCTGTCTGTGCAGGGTTTTAGCTAGCCCTGGTCAAAGATAAACAAGGGTGGCTAGCTAGGACACCATTAATTTATTTATGTTTTATGTTGAGGCACACATGCCCAGGGACCCAGCATGGTTTTCAAGCCAGTAGGTCTTACACTCAAACCGCAGTCCACCATGTGGGAGTCCAGAGCCTTAACCACCATACCACCTGCTGGCCTTGACACCGCTAAATTCAAAGTCACAGTTTATCTTTATGTGACATACAGTGGTCTCCTTTGCATCTACGAGTTTACATTAGATATGTGACTGGGTAGTGTTGTTTTTTTTTTTTCATAAATAGGTATTTTGTATATAAGAGTTTGGTAAAAAATTACTTTCTGAAAAAGTGCCCCAGTTCCATTCCTTACTGATTCCATACTTAGTCTGCTGAATCCATTGGTCCATAGATTATCCACAGCACTAAAAATTCTTTCCATACCAACTGTAGAAATTGGAATTGAAATAGAATTTTGAGCCAGTTTTAACATACTTTGAGCAACTGGCTTTTTTTCGAAAAATATTCCCATGTATCAAGAAATGTTATCCTCTGAAGGCAAGGGAACAAGATAGCAGTATCCTCATAAAGAGACTTGGGGGGGAATGTTTCCCCTTCCTGGAAACAACTTCCAGGTTTGACCTACTTTACCAGAAGACGGGGTGGGTTTCATGGTTAGTCACATGCGAATGCCACATACAAGGTACTCAGGGCGTGATAAAGGAAATTGCCTGAGATGACCCACTTCTGCGGGTATTTCACCAAGGTCAGGATCGCCCTGGCTTTTGACCTGCTGGTTTGTGAATCCCACTTAGCCCTTACAGCTGGCATTTGGCACCATGGAAATGACTTAACTGGGACTTCACTTGTAGCTGGTCGTTTCAGTTCACTTTACCTGTGTGGCTGCAGCCCCTTTCTCAATCCTAATGTTGTGCATTTTTTGCTTTTTTATAGCAGATTTTTATGGATCTTATTGATATTCCATGCAAACTAGCTTTTGAGTTTGCCATTTCTGTGCCTTTGATGTTTACCATTTTTTGCTTTTTAAAAACAGTTTTTAATTTTATCTATTTCTCCTATTTCCCCCTATTTTCCTAGCTTAAGTTGAATGTTTAGTTCATTTATATTACTTATTTTTTATTGACATATACTAATTGCACAATTTTTGCACCATAATAACGTGCTTTAATTCCATTTTTCCATGAACTGTTTTTCCCCCCTAGAGGGCACATACACTCACCAGAGAGAGAGAGAAAGAGGGAGAGGGAGGAAGCACTGCAACCCCCTCACCTCCCCGTCTCTGCCCACACCCAGAATGTTTTTCAAGCGCAGGGGCTGGGATTCCAACCATGTGGTCAGCCATTTGGGATCCAGTTCCCTTCCTCAGTAGACCATGGGGCCAATCCCTGATGAATTTTTCGATGTCCCCTCATATGTCTTTCTCCTCTATTAAATCCAACCCCCCAGGGGTATTTGGACAAGCGATTTAATTCTCTTGATGATGAACTTGAAATAGAGGTGTGGTCCTGGCTCCATTTTCGTTACTGACTTCGCAGAGATCAGATGACTGTATATTACGGTGCTTCACAAACAGCAAGTGGAAGACAGTTATTTCCTGCCCAGATAAACAGCGGCCTCAATTAACAAGTCAGCCAAGCGGCTGTTACCCTTAGCACCCTTCCCCCAGTGTGTCCTGCATTTCTCAAGGAGAAAAGAAAAACTTGCTTTTTTTTTTTAATTTCATGAAGTTTATTACTAAGTTATTTCATTCCCAGAGGCAAATCACATATGTCAAGGATTTTGTTCTAGGGCAAATTTAGAATTATCTGCTTTTTGGCAAGCGCACCTGGATAAGAGCTGCATAGGTGAAAAGGTTTTACTCTGAAAACTGAACTACTCTCTACTTCTCAATAAACGACTTCTCAATAAAATTGAAATCCCATGGAAAAACTTGCTTTTTATTTGTCCACGTCTTCAATGCTGGAGGCTTCCTTTCAGCTTATTCTCCCCTCCTCTCTGAAGTCCTGAAGCTATTGCTGCTCTCCTGCGCCAGGCGTCTCACTACCACACTCTCGGGCTCCAGAGGCTGAGGAGGGAAGAATCGGGCAGGGCCCGTCCAAAGCAGCCTCGGGCTCCCAGATGCACCAGATGTGGCCTGAATCTGGGGTGTGCAGACCCAGATCCCCGAAATGGCAGCGCCTCCCCTGGTTCTCTGCAGTCACTGTCCCGTGAACACTGCCGTGCCTGGATCTGATGGCCGTGGCCTGTCTGTTGGTGCAGGTCCTTGTATCAGTAACTGGGGTCTCAACATCCCGCCTGACTAGAGTACCTCTTCATTCACACTCCTGGGTGTAGCCACTGACCTCTTTCCTAGAACTCGGGCCCTGCCAGCGGGACTCCGAGATCCCAGCGTTGGCCACGTGCTGCAGCACAGCCAGCCCGCCCCCAGCTCCTCTTTCCAAGCCTGGTCTCCTGGTCTAGATGCCTTTCCTCAAAGCCACTGTATTCAAGGAACCTGGTTGCCATTCCTTGGCACTGGTCCTCGACTTGGGATGTGACAGCTTTATGTACCCGAGTTTCTAGTCACAAAGGATCTCGCTTCTCTGACTTTGGCTGTGGGTATCTGTTCATCCTGTATTTGCTTAACTGAGTCACCCCTTAGATAAGTACACATGGAAATGAAGGTTGTCTTTTGGTTAAAAGACTGTACCCAGGGTACATATGACACAGACTATGGGGAGTTGGAGGAGGGGGATGGGAGTGACAGCCTGGCTGTCACCGTGTATGTGTGAGTCTGATGAGAGTTCGTGGGGCCTTCAGCCATGGACATGCTAAGGGGAGAACAGGTGGCCATGTGGCTGATGACCCCTTGCAGAGGCCTGGTGTCCCTGTGAAAGAACTCCTCAGGGTGCCCGGAGCAGTTGCCTCCCTCTCTAAGCACCTTGCTTTTGTTGGGTCTCGGCACCCTCGAGAGTTGGCACTAAGTGGGGAAATCCAGCATCATGTGGGACAGTGGACGAGGTCACTTTGGGGAATCTCTTCCAAGTATGAGATTGTATGAAAATGACAAGACCGAGGCCATGAAACTTTCCATCTCTGCACAAAACGGCCTCTTAAACCTTCATTATGCCTGGGATTTGGCACATCATAGATGCGCCATTTGGGAAGTAGGAAGTTTTCCATTGGTCTTCAGATAGTCATCCCTTTCGCATCTCTGGTTCATTTCTTCTCTCATACTCTGCATTTTGTTCTCATTCCAGCTTTTGAACCGAAAAGACAAGACCACCTTTGAGAAACTGGACTACCTGATGTCTAAAGAAGATAATTACAAGCGGACCCGGGAATATATCCGAAGCCTGAAGATGGTTCCCAGCATTCCCTATCTAGGTAGGAGTCTGAATCGCCTTCTTTTTAAAGAAAACTGCTCATGCCAAATAAGATGTTTTTACAGTTTTTAGTTGAGACATTTCCAGGAAGCAGCACAGGCCATGGATAAAGAGGCAATTGGTTGGCCCGTTTGGTTGGAACAGGCTGTCGGTACTTCTGGGGATGGGAACCTTGATGAGAATGAGAAATAAGGGATGTTCAGCGTCGTAGACGTGCGACCTGTGACTCTCAGGTCTCCCCGGGCCCTGTGGGGTCACAGCCACAGTAAAGAGACTCTCCCTGGTTCATCCATGTCCTCCTGGACTGGGACACTCGGTTCTGGTTCTCAGGGCGTTTTTCATGTAGTTCATGGTATTTGTACAAACAAAATTATAATAACGATTATGCATTTTTATGGTTAAAAAATAATACATGTTTATTGTAAGCTATTAGGAAGGGGAGAAAGTTAATATCATTTGTTATCTCATCTGAAGTTATTTTGCTCCATGAGCATTTATTTGAACATATCTAAGATATTTATGTTTGCTCTATCCAGAATGTTCAGTGTTATAGCTACATTTCTATACTATGACTTAATTTCATCAGACAGATATTTCACACTCAAACCTACACTCTAATATTGCCCATTTAGCTTGTTTCTATGTGTTTTTGCTGTTAAAATGTTACAATGAACATTCCGAGTGCAAAATCTTTCCAGATATAGTTACGAGTATTACTTTGTAATAAAGTCCTAGATGTGTGATTAATGGATCAAAACGTATACAAAAATTGGGCCAGCTGGTAGCATGGTGGTTGGGGGGGCTGGATCCCACATGACCAACTGTGCAGCCTGAGTTCCCGGCCTGGCAGCTTGAGGGTCATGCCAGTCCCTTTCTTGCTTTCCTTCTTTCTCGCCCCAGTGAGCACACACAGACTATGGCAAATTAAAACAAGCAAGCAAGCAAACAAGCAAACAAAAAACACTTAGGCAAAAATATATGCCTTTTTGTATATTTTTCAATGTGTTCTCTAGAGGTTGTATCAATTTACACTTTTATCAGAAGGGGATATAATGCAATTTTCTCCCACATGTTCAAGTAATGTGTACTTTTACATGTTTTTTATTTCTTCATTTTTTAAATTTTGCCAATGTGATAGGTGAAGGATACTTCTTGTGATTTGAATTTTAGAGTAATGCTAATTTTATGAAAAAGTCTTAAATCTTTTTATGACCTAAAATAGTTTTAGTAACAAGGGAAACTAAAGTTTTATAGAAATGACTCCTGATATTTTCAGGGATCTAGTGGAATTTTTTTGGAGTTGAATCTTTGACAACTTTTAACATTTCTTCCATGAGCATATTTTCACTTAGATTTTCTTTTAAACTTGAAATTTTGTTTTTTAGTAGAAAGTCTTTCATTTGATTTAAGTCTTCAAAATTATTAACACTGAGTTTTTTTCATTTAATTTTTTGACCATAGAGTATTATATAGTATTATCTTATAAATTTCCATCTCTCTCTATACATAGTTAAGTTTGCTTTTATATTCTTAATTTTCAGTATTTTTGTTTTTTCTTTTTTTAAAATTGCCTTACCAGAGATTTGCCTATTGGTTTCCCCAAGATTTAGATTTGGGGTTTATCAGTCACACTGTCTTTCTGCTTTTAAACTTAGTGGGTCTTACTATTCTAGATGTGCCTTTTGTCTCCACATCTCAACGCCTCTGAAATTGGGATTTATCTCTCAGCTGATGATAAGCATTGTGACATTATTTAGTTGGCAGCAGGTTTTCTTAGTGGTACATAGAAAGATGGTATACTTCATAATAGAGGACATCTTAATTTGATAAAATGGAATTCTACTTTTTTGTTCGAAAATTCATCTTTTGTTTTCCTTCATTTGTATCATCATTTCAATTCACTACTTAAGTTGAATCACTGGTTCTTTTGTGTGTGTGTGTGTATATATATAATTTTCTTCACTTTAATATGGAAAGGCAGTTAAGAATATGAATTTTCCTATAATTGCTTTTTTGTTGCATTCTATACATTTTGATATATAGTGTTCTCGGTGATATTCAACTATTCTGTAATTATAGTTTTTTTTTCCCTTTATTCAGGTATTATTTAAGATAGTAGGGTTTTAAAAAATATATTTCAAGGGCTTGGGAGTATTTATTTTTCTGGTAGCTTTATTGAAATATAAATATATAATCCATTTAAAGTGTACAATTCAGTGATTTTCAGTATAGTCCCAGAATGATGCATTCTTCACTACAATCTATTTTAAAACATTTTATCATCCCCAAAAGAAATCCCACACCCTTTAACCGTCACTCCAATTTTCCCCTAGTCACCTTCTAGTTACCCAGGTAACCACATACTCATTTTCTGTCTCCACCATTTACCTCTTCTAGAAAGTCCACATCAATTAGATCATGCAACATGTTATCTTTTAGGGCTGGCTTCTTTCAGTATCATGTTTCAAGCTTCCTTCTTGTTGGATTATGGTCAGCTCCTCATTTCCTCTGATTGCTAAATAGTATTCCATTGTATAGATGCACATCACATTCTATTTATCCATTCACTTGATAGATATTCGAGTTCTTTCCACCTTTTGGCTATTATGAATGTATCACTATGAATGGCTTGGTTTTTTCTCTTGTTTAGGTTTAGGTTTTTGTCATAGGGTGCATGCACTCACCAGAGAGTAGAGAGAGAGAGAGACAGAGAGAGGGCTATCCCAGGGCAATAGCCATGCCATAGGCCCTTCCCTGCCATTCTCCTCTCAGAATTTTGAGCACACATACACACATGCCTGATGTGATTTTTCAGGCTGCTTGGTCCAGGACTCAAACTGCAGTTGGCCATGTGGGAGTCCAATGTTGTAACCATTATGCCACCTGCTGGCCCTGGCTTGGGTTTTTAAAACTGTTTTTTTTCTATTTTTTATTATTATGTTTTTTACATTGGTTCAGAATGTGTGACATATACAAGTTATGCTTTCTAGGTTTTTGGAACTATTGGGCTGTTGGAAAAGTCATGCCTTTTTGCACAGAAAAACAGAAAATTTCATTATGATTTTCTGACAACCAACCTACTATTTCAGATTTTTCTTGGGGCTTAACATCAGATCAACTTATGTACATGTTTCATGGGTTTTGGAAAAGAAGATCTAATATCTCAAATTACTCTTATAACTGCATTATAATAATCAAATTATTCATTATTGACAACTTGGTATATCAAGAATGAACTATATGGGACCAGCAGTTGGCATAATGGCTTTGTCACTGGACTCCCTTGTAGTCGACTGTGATTCAAATCCCAGACCCAGTGGCCTAAACTCATGCCAGGCGCATGTGCGTGCGTGCCCAAGAGTGGAACTGGGATTGCGGCCTGGCCATTTCCCACCTCCCACTCCCAGGGGGTGATTTCTCTCTTTCTGTCTCTCTGCATCTCTCTGTCCTTCTGGCAAGCACACACGCCCTATACCCTATAGCAAAAACCTCTAAAAAAAAAAAAAAAAAAAGAATGAACTAGCTATTAATCCTCCTTGCGTTCCTAGTACTTTCTGTCCGATATTTTTGTATACAGAAGTTTGTAGCAGAAAGATTCATCGTGAAGTGCCCCATACAAAGTTAACTTGGCTCCATTTCTTACTTGCTTTTTCTTATTTGATATTAATTGTGTGACTTCTATTTTATTTTTCATCTACATTTATTTTATAGATCTTTGGCTGTATTTTAGACTGTAATATTTTAAGCTGTCTTATTTTATGCAGGGTCCTTGCAAACAGCATTTACTCGGACCCAATGTAAAAACCTTTGGCATTTAGCAGGAGAATATAACTCCCGTTTGTTTAGTGTCATGCCGTGTAATCAAATTCAACATCCATTCTTTGCTTTCTTTTTTATATGCTTTCTTATCCTGTGCTTTTTCTCTTCTTCCAGCTTACATAAACTGCAGTCTTTCTGCTTGGTGACTGGGAAGTCTCCCTCCCAGGTCTCCAGATGGAGAGCATATTGATACCACAGTTCCCGGTCCTGAGTATCTGGTTTGCCTGAGGCTAATCAATTGAGAGATGAGATTGCTGGTATTCGGGTGAGGGTGGCTCAGTGTTGTCCACTGGTTCAACTCACAGGGGTGCTCTAGAACCTTCTCTCTAGTAAGAATGTTGAGAGCCATTGTGCACATCTGCTTGCCCTGTGCATGGCACCTTGAGAGCCATTGGAAAGGTGATCTCACTGAACGGTCGCCACAGCCCAGGGGAGCAGCAGGCACTGAGAGGTTGCCGAGGGCCACATAACTGGGCAGTGACAGAGCCAGGACTGGCTCAGGTGCTCTGCCTAGAAGCCCTCTCCTTACTTCCGGCCTCCATGTTCAGTTCATCATCTCCCTACTCCTTCCCTTCAGTTGTCACCAGTGTGTCCTCTGCCACCTAGGACTTTTGGGAGGCCACCGACCGGTACCATGTGATGTGGAAGATTGTCTCCTTCTTCCTTGGGGATGTACTTTGCTGTGGAACCACACATGGGTGCTCTCTTGGGCTTCCAAGGACATTAATCAGCCTGCGCTGGCCCTCAGGGCCCTGCCACTGAAGCAGCTCCTTGTCCCCAGTCACTTCATCTCTGGCGCCTCTTCCTGGCAGGCGCTTCCCAAGAGGCTCTTTGGAGCCCTTCATTTGCCTGCTTCTGGCCCTAAGTGAGCCCCACTTAACCTCCATGCTCCCGTTCCCTCAGCCTTGCCGTCTCCCCGCTCCCCTAAGCCAGTTAGACTGCATTCTCAGACTACATCAGGACAGCCCTGTCCCGTGTGAGTCAGAGGCAAAACTAGGGACCGATTCCAGCCCGCTTTCTGCCTCGGGATGGCGTGCGGGGTTTGTCAGGGGCTCCGTAGTTGGCACAAAGCAGAATGAAGCAAGAGGACAGCTGGGGCTCTGCCTGCACATCTGACCGCCACGGGCAGACCCTGCCCAAATCCAGATTGGGTTTCCGTGTTGGCTTCCTTGTGAGAACTCA